GGGCACCGCGGGGCGGGGGGGGGGTATCAGGTGGTCCCGAGGGGCAGTTTTTGCACTTTGGTGGTTTGTTGAACTCGGACCACCACCCCGTAGCCCCAGTCGCGCGCGCGCGCCCCGCAGGACTGTGTTCAATTTTTTCGCGCGCGCGCGCGTGCAGCGCGTTTAAACGCGATTGAATGCGGGGCTGGGGGGGTTGAACGCGCGCGTTTGAACGTGAACGCGCGTTCACGGCGTTCAACTGGTCACACAGCGCGCATCGTGTTGAGTAGAATGTCTGCCAGGTTCTGCCTCTCCTGTTGCACTGTCGTTGGCTCGGTGCCGGCTACGGGAACATAACGCATCCCGTTGAGTACCGCTGTCCACTGCTCTTGGCTAGAAAGCAGAAGTCCAGCGCTGTCGGCATTGAGCTGGTCGGTCGCCAACTGGTCTGCCTCAGCTTGACGCTGGGCTTGGGCTGCAGCTTCCGCTGCTAGCCGTAGTCTCTCTGCGTCGGCAGCCTCTTACCGTTCTTTGGCAAGGGTGAGTGCGGCTGTGTAGTCCTGCACTCTCTGAATGAAGTCCGGGAGGGGCTCATTCGGCCCTTGCACCAGACAGTCCGGTAAGGGTTCGGCATTGCCAGATGTTGAACTTTCAGATAGCGTTCCGCTGTTTGACGTGTGCGCCATCTGAGTGTTGGTCTGCAACTGCTATCGATTTGCAGGTGGCTGTTGTTGTTGGAGATTTGTGATCCTTCTGCTGCGTCGTGGCTGCTGTTCGGTGGCTTGCCCTGCTGGCATCAGAAATGCTGCTGAAGGCTCGCTCGTCCGAAGGTCGCAGAACAGTGTGAGGGAGAGGGTGGGCACAGGGATACAACAGATCAAGCAATATACATACAGTCCCTGTCCCAATGATGGACTTAGACACCTAATCAAATAGAAAAAAATAAATTTTCCCGTAAACAACTCGAAAATTCGTAATAAGCAAAATAACAACGAATTATTAATACGAAATAATAATTCTTAATGATAATCGATAAAACAATATTTGCACTAATGATTTCTTAATGAGAATCAATTAAAACAATATTTGCAATAATGATAAAGAACGAATTTGAATTGTTATCAAGATTAGGTATCCGTTGAGATCATGTTTAGTCCGGGAGTTCACCGTTGATTAATGAACTACCCGGAAGTTGCAATTCTGAGGGTCGGATTCAGATTAGTTTGCCAAAAACATTTTTGGAAAAAATAGGGAAAAAAATACTCGAATTTTCGAAAAAAAACGTGAAATTTCGAGAATTTCCACCGGCAAAATCCGATTTTTAAAGGCCTAAGTCCGTTTTCGGAATTTCTCAAAACAAGGGAGCGAAAAAAAATTCGCGAAAATTTCGGAGTCCGACCCTAATTTTTCGCGATTCCACGGAATTTCCGATTTTACGGTTCCCAAAACATTCGAATTTCCCAAGTTGATTGAAAACCAAAAATTTTCGTAACCCTAATTTCCCACAATGCAATAAAACGAAAATGCCGATTTAGAAAATGGAATACAGGATTAAAATCAGAATGCTGGATTATAAAAACGGAAACCGAAGTGAAATGAGAATGCCGAATTAAACAGATTACTGATTTAAACCTAATCACGAATTAATAATCAGAAATCCGAATTAAACAGAATGTCGGATTAGTATCAATTTATCGGAACCCAATTAAACAGCATACCGGAGTAAAACAGAAATCCGAATTACAAGTCTGAATACCGAATTGAAACGGAAATGTCGAAATAAACAGAATACCGAAAAAAAGGGAAAAAAAATTGCAACTTTGAACTCGATAGTAATACAGAGCTGATTTGGAAGATTGAAAAAACAATCTACTTCCTAATCAGACTTACCTGGTGAGCAGATCCGTGAAATGGTCTGCTCCAATACCAAAACTTTTACATACTCGTGATTTTATCAACGAGTATGGGGCAGAACCAAAGATCAACCAATATAGGATGAGTATGTATGCAACGGAAGTCTGAGAAACGGACTCACTCACATAGATATCACTCCACACACATACAATCGTGAGATGGTGGGGTCTGAGACATACATGGATGATGCTCAGCCCCGTACACGCATACACAGATGAAGGTGGGAGGAGAGACGAAGGAAGGGGGGAGATGTAGGTAGCACCACATGTCACCGAGATAGAAACCAGTAGGTCACCGATATGGTAATCCAAAATGTCATCGAACAAGATCCAAATATCGAGGACAGTAAGTCACCAATGTCGGAGATACAGAGTCCTAATGTAACCGATGTCCAATATGTGATGCAGCCGAGTATCATCCCCGACAATCTCCAAGTCTCGAACCCGGTAAGTACCATAACCTCTTACCACCGAAGTCCAACTCTGATCTCTGTCCAACTAGTATAAGTCTCCAGTCTGAAGAAGAAGAAGAAGAAGAAGAAGAAGAAGAAGAAGAAGAAGAAGAAGATGAAGTCTGAAGAAGAAAAAGAAGAGATAGAAGAAGAAGAAGGGAGTCAAGGAGGACAGAGAGAGAGAGGGGACTGGCGATGGGAGGAAGGAGAGAACCTCCGGCTCCCGATACCTCAGGCGGCTATGGCCGCCAATCCTGCTCAGTCGCCGCTGCTGCTGCTCCGCTCGCTGCCGCTGCTGCTCCTCGTGCTCCTGCGCTAAGAATAGCGCTAGCGCTCTGGCGCTAACCATAACGCACCGCGTAGAATGCCGGTGGTTTGATCCCGAACTGAGGCTGGACCGGTACTTTTGTACCGGTGGGGCAGAGGCCGGCCTCTATGTTGCGAGGCCTGGCCATGCCCTGAACCGTCAAGATGGACGGTTCAGCCCCACCCGGCGGGCGGCAGCCTCAAGAGCACCGCCAGGCCCAAACGGTAATGTCGTTTGGGCCTGCCCGTCGGGTCTGGTCCAAGATGAGGCCTTTACGGCCTGTAGTAGTACCCCAAGGTCGGGCCCTTAGGCCCTACTGTGTCCCTCTGGCCCTAAGTCGGGTCCTGTAGGACCCGTGTGGCGTCGAAGATGTAACACTTCCCCTGTGAGTGAAACTGGGTCCCGATAAGGCCAAAACAACAAAAATGACGGCCTAAACAGCGAAAATGACGATTCTTATCGACTGTAGCAGCTCCTCTGCTTCACTTCTTACGGTATGTAAAAACAATGGAAACGAATCTTCCGCTAGAACATGGATATATACATCGCTGTTCACTTCGCTCCTACGTGTCACCTTCAGGCAGGTTCTTCTTTTCTCTTCTCTCTTTCTCTCTAGTACGTGCTACAACACGAACATATCGGGCCGTTAATATGACCAGATTCATTCCAAGACCAGCATAGAAGACCAGTTCGTTCGAACGAAGACTACTGCTATGACGGGAACAAGCTTCAATAAGCAGCTACGAGCACCGGGATGGTGACGACTGAACAGACGATCATTCTTGTCATGAGATTACGACAAAAATGGGGAACTTGCTCCTCTAGTCAATGAATGATAAAAAATGAGAATGAATCTTCCGCTAGAACATGGGAAGATACATCATCATACCCTGTTTTCGATCTTGCCAATACTCACACTAGTGCTCTCTTATAAGTGCATCAGACTGCAATCTCGGCCAGGTGAGTGTCTTTCTCCCATTACTCCTCCCCCGGGCTCATTCTCTTCTACTTCTCTTATTACACCTGATCGGTCATTACGTCTGGGTTCACACAGTCCTTAGTAGTGTATGCTTTATAATGGCGGGTGCTGTGCCGAGAAGGAGAGCGAACCTAATGAGAACGAAGGCCACTACCACCGAGCAAATGGATGCAACTGCGAAACAGATGAGCACCGCCGCATGCAACATCAGAGCACCATCACATGCAATATCGAGGATGAGGATGACCGTCGGTCTTCAACGATGTCAAACGTCAAGGTATAAGGGATATTACTTCAAGGGAGATGACTGTCGTTTGTTATGGAGACGACGAGTGGGAACAACCACTGCCATGCTAAGCTTTCCCCCACCTTACGCCCTGCCTCCTTATCAGCTCCTTCATATTCTTCCTCGATCTTTCCTCCCTAACTCTCCACCTAAAACTGACTTCAGATCCGCGGGCGCAATATTTCAAAACCTCGACCCCAGACCTTCCCTTACCTGTTTTTGCTCAGAGATGACCGGAAACAAGCTCTTTCTAACGTGCCAAAACTTACTGTCACGGAGCTCTTACCTCTCCTTCCGGAAGAACCGTTGCTCGAATCACGAATCTGGTGTGAACCCGGAATACTTCAAAACCCCTGTTTAGCACTTTAGTTCGACCAAATCGGTTCATAAATGACCGAGATATGTCATTCTCTCATTCCCTTCTTCCTCCTCGTCGCCTTCCTCGACACCTCCGTGCGAGCCTTTTCTCTTCTCACT